CTAACCACTGTGCCACCGAGGCTCTTCCTCTCAATAAAGGCAATACTGTCCAAAAGAACTCTAAATTAAAGAGTCAAGAAAGGGCCACAGGACTGAAGGCTAAGCTAGCTTGTCCACTGATGGCTGAAACCCAGGAGAAGGACCAAGAGTACCAGCCTTGACCAGACACGGGTACAGGGATGTCCAAGTTGGGGGCCAGCCCAGAGAATAAGCCAACCGGTTGTTAACATTCTGAGCAGTTTAGAGAACCAGTTGTTAGAAGAAATTACTGGGCTAATCCTGTAAGGAAGGCAGGAAGGAAGCATTCTGGTGTTGCTTACAGAAACTGCCTTTCCGCTAACCCTTATCACATTCTTGGCAGGACTGGACTTCCTGTCTCAGGAACTTCTCTGGAGTTTTTTTCCCCTCCTTTGCTGGCACTTTGCTTGTGTGGAGGGACCATTGAAAAAGTGACTTATGACCATTTTTCACACTTATGACTGTTGCAGCATCCCCACAGTCACGAGAGGCCAGGCGAGGAGATGCATGCCTCGATGTGAGTGATATTGAGTTGGCCACGCCCATCCAATCACATGACCACCAAGCCACTCCCACCAGCTAAGCCACACCCACAGAACCGGCTGTCAGAATATTTGAATCCCACCCCTGGGCCCGATCCCTCGCCTGCAAAAGCTTGGAGGAGCGTTCGCCGCTAGAGAAAACGCCTTTCAGACTTCTGCGTGTTTACATTTCTGCACCATTACTTGATAAAACGAAGGGAATCTCTGCTGGGATATTTAAGAATTGTGGACTTTTTAGATCTGGAGCAATATTACTCAGGAATAAAGGGGCCTCCGCCGCCGCGCCCCCCCTCCCCTTGAAGCTGGTGAAGCGCACGAGGACCCTCATTCTTGTGTCTTTCCCTCTCTCCCTCCCTCCTCTCTCTCTCTCCCTTCTTCCCCATTACTTCCTTCCATGCTTGTTGTGTTCTATTTGTTTCTTCGTTCTTTAGAAATGAGAATGTCGGGTTAACAAATGGGCTCTGTCTCTTTCTAACTGCCTGGAACTTCATTATACCTGCATGAACTGCCAGCTCCATTTTCCGGTGTCGCTGGCTTGTTCTGGGCCCCCCCCCCCCCCCCCCCCCCTCCCCCCCCCCCCCCTGCCCTCCAGCCTCCTCTCAGCCCCTCCAGCTCTCCGCTTCTTCCTGCCCCAGTAAAATCCCCCACACACCCACCCAAGGGGGAGACCTGGACATCAGGGTCCCTTTCTCTGCTGCTGCCGCCGCTTCCTTTTCTCAATCTGCCCTCTTTTGGGGGGGGGCGAGGCAGAAGAGACCTTGCCCTTCTGTCACCCTAGAGGGGATTCTCCCCCCCCCCACCAGCCATTCTTCAGCAGCTGGGCCTTTCATACCCGCCTGTTTCTTAGGTTGTCACCCAGAGGTGGTCTTCGGCCGGTTCTGACCAGTTCTGGAAAACCGATAGCAGAAATTTTGAGTTTTAGTTCGGAGAACCGGCCAATCCCACCCTCTGACTGGCCCCGCCAACCCCATCTCTTCTCCGCCTCCCGTTGAGTCCCAGCTGATCATCTGCGTCTCCTTTGGTTGTCCTGCACAGGAGAAGGGAGCTGGAAAGCAGGTTAGTGGGGTGGGGAGGGAAGGGGGATTTTGCAGTATATCCTTCCCCTGCCACGCCCACCAAGCCACGCCCATAGAACACCACGCCCTCCAAGCCACATCCACAGCTGATGAGCTGTGTCTTCTTTGGATGCCCTGCACAGGAGAACAGAGCTGGAAAGCAGGCTAGTGGGGTGGGGAGGGAATGGAGATTTTTGCAGTATCTTTCGCCTGCCCCACCAAGCCACGCTCGCAGAACTGATCGTTGTTGGGGGTTTTTTAAATCCCACCACTGTTGCCACCCCGCCACATCCTAAAGGATGACAAACACGGAAGCTGAAACCGCTCCATCCAAATGGCGTAATGCAACCGAGACGTTGAGTTCGCCCCAACCTTCTCCAGAATGCCGTGGTTGGAAGGGGCCTCCATTCCAAGGAAATATTCTGTCTCGCGGCCCGATACTCCCCGTCGCAGCCCCTCGGAGGGTCAGAGCCCCTCTAGAGATAAGGGCTGTCATAGAGAAGGAAAAAGGTTGGCCTTTTTCTCCAGAGCATCTGAAGGCAGGACAAGAAGCCCTGCTGGGTGGGAGATCCCCTCGGAGGGAGATCCACGTTGGGAATAAGGAAGGACGATGGATGAGTGGAACCGCTTTGCCTCCTGGAGTTGTTGGAGGATTTCCAGAGAAAATCGACAACCGTTGGATAGGAATGGAGTAGGGTCTCCTACCCTGAGCAGAATCTAAAGTCCCCTCCAGCCCTCTTTATTTATTATGTCTTCTGTAGCGGAGAATATTTATTATTATTATTTTTTGAACCGTCATTGGACACTCCCTGTTCGCCCTTGACTGTCTTCGGCGAGCTGGAGTTTTGGCAGAACTGCCCCGATTGCTGGTGGTGTCAAGAATTGGCTTGTCCCGTTTTCCTCTGGGAAAAAAAAAGGAGATTCATGCTGGAAACCAGCAAAATCAGCCTCGTAGCTGATCTTACGAGCTCCGTGAATCTGCTCCCTTGTCTGCAGCCTCTTGATTTGTTCCGTGACTCGTGTTTGTGGCTGCTTATTTAAAAGGCAGGACAGGTCGCTCCAGCCTTGACTGCGAACGAGGGCATCTTTTCTGCTCCTCCGGGGATCTCCGTGAGTTTGGCCAACAGTTGAGCGAATTTAACCTTGTGGCATTTGCCGGAGAGTGATTACTGCAAGGAATCTGGGTCCCGAAGAACTAAGCATGGGATTTGAGAAGAAGGATGTGGCAGGGAAAGGGGGCGGGGGGCACAGGGCTTGGGTCCTGACAAATACCACGTTAGCCTACTTAAAAAAAAAATATCACTGAAAACGGAAAGTATACACCTTCTTTCATTCCCTTCTTTTGTAAGAATCTAGGGCAGAGTTTTTTTCAACCTTGGCGACTTTAAGATGCGTGGACTTCCGTTCCCAGAATTCCCCAGCCAGCAGTTTACCTTCTCCTGAAGGTAAAGTAGTTGTTGGGTTCTTTGATTTATGTCTTGCACAAAACCATCTAAGTCAGCATTCCTCAACCTTGGGAACTTGAAGAGACGTGGCCGTCAATTCCCAGAATTCCTTAGCCAGCCAGGCTGCCTGGGGGACTCTGGGACTTGAAGTCCACACATCTTAAAGGTTGAGGAAAAATATATATATATATATATTTAGAGGCAGGGTCGAGAAGACAAGACAGGAAAGAGATTCCAATACTATTCATCAGAAGGAGGAAGGATTTGAAGCCAAGCAGGGGGGCATCTGAGGACACACTTACCTTGGGGCAGAAATGGGGGGAATTTAGAATAATCTGAAAGCCTTTCCTAAGCTTTCCCCCATCCAGGGGGGGTTGGAGACGTTGCATTCATAAATGCAAAGTGACATAGAAAGGCCTTACCTGGCCTAAAGAGCACCGCACCCATTGTGGCATCCCTTGCAGGCCCAAAGCTCTCCCCTCTCTCTAGTGGAGGAGGCGCTTTACTCCCCTGAAGTCCAAAGGAGATTAAGTAAATCCCCACCTTCCTAATATGATTAGATCCCAAAGCTCCTTCTTACCCAGCATTTTCCTCTCTCCCTGTCCCCACGCCATCTGTGCCTCTTTTCTGCCTCTTTCGTGTCACACCCTTCGGTTCGGCCAGGGCTTCCTTCCTCACACTCTTCTTGGAGGCTGTGGGACCCGATTATTAAGTCGCTAGTTTTGAAGGCGGCTACGCATTTTGGAGACGAGTAAAGCAAGTCGCTTAGACCTCGGAAAGAAGACCTGAGTTGCCCATGTTCAACATTATTTCACAGCTCTCCCCCCGCCCTTCTCTCCTGCCAAATCTAAGAGCAGAGAGAACAGTCCTGTGGCGTTGCCTTCTGAGAATAGGGCATCGTGCATTGCATCATGCCAGCCTCGTGGTCCAGCACAAAGCACAGAAGCGGGTGGCATCCGCAAGGGCCTTCAAACCCGCGTTCCTGTTCTTTGCTTTTCAACCTTCGCAGCAGCGGTGGGATTCAATTTTTTTTACTACCGGTTCTGTGGCCGTGGCTTAGTGGGCGAGGCCGGGGAAGGTGACTGCAAAATCTCCATTCCCTCCCCACCCCGCTAACCTGCTTTCCAGCTCCGTTCTCCTGTGCTGGGCAACCAAAGAAGACCCAGCCAATCAGCTGGGACTCAATGGGAGGCAGAGAAGAGATGGGGTTGGCGGGGCGAATCCGAGGTGGGATTGGCCGGTTCTCCGAACTACTCAAAATTTCCGCTACCGGTTCTCTGGAACCAGTCAGAACTGGCTGAATCCCACCCCTGGTTGGCCCTCATTCCAAATCCTAGAACAATATTTCTCATCGCCAATAACGTGAAGATATATGGAATTCAACACCTAACCAGCATCTCTGGGGCGTTCTGGCGGTTGAAGCCCCCACATCAGTCGCCACGGCTGAGAAACACTGCACGGGGGGTTATTTTTCCCTGCTGCCTTCTTAGATGATCCTGGACTCAAGAGAGAATTGTGGGGGGGGGGGACTTCTCCATGGCTCCCACCCCCTATCTTTGTGTATCTGCAGATCCCACATATGGTTCCACCTTTGAAATGTACCCAAATGAATACAAACAGGAGAACTTTCCCAGCATGTGAGAAAAACCTCTGTTGTGTTTCTTGAAAAGCCCTTTTCAGTTCGGGGGATGTTATCTGCGTGCTCAAAATTGTGCCTTCGAAAGAAAAACGCGCCGTTTATTTTTAAACTTAAAAACACACACCGAGTGAGATTGGTAGCCGCGTATTTCAACAATAAAACTCCCCTCTCTTTTCAGTATGCAGACAGCCGGGATTTCTTGCAAAAGTCTTTAGCGGGATGACAAGAGCCTTGCATTTCCTCCGCTCCTCAGTTCTTTGACGCTCTTAAATTGAACCCACCTTTCTTCTTTTCCTTTTAGGGCCACCTCTTTATTGTGCAGTACAATGACGGGAACGCCGAAGTGGTCTCCATGTGGGTGTGCCGGACTCTGGAGGAGAGGCGTGTGCAACAACAGGGATCCCAGTGAGAGGAAGAGCGATGCGCTCTCTCTCCCACGGGGCCAGAGCCTCCGAAGAGCTTCACGTTGCAGAGTGGAGCCCGCCAGGAGAGATCCGGCGTCTTTTCTTCAAGAAATTCAGCGGGCGTCCTTTGCCCCCCGCGGCTCTCGCTGCCTCCTCCTGCATCCCTAAGACAAGGCGAACGTATATTTTATAAACCGAAGGTGTATCTGTTGGCCTCCCAAGTATTTTATATGATTTGGGGTCTTTGCTAGCGAAACAAACACGAGGACATGAGCAGAAAAGGAAGGTGGCAGCCCTGTGGACTCAGCCAGGTGCCTGCCTTGCATTGGGATTGGAAAACTGAATGTTACATGATGGGCCGGTGAAAGAAAATGGACCGAGATGAAGGAATAAAAAAGCGTACGCGGTATCAGCCAAAGGGTGTGCGCTAATGCTTGCACCGTCCCCTGTACCTACTCTTCCTTACGTAGGACGAGGTGGACATCAAAGAGACTTTAGCAGAAGATCAAAACAGGAGGGAAAGTTGGTCTGGGCTTTCATTTGTTATTCCCTTGAGCGGTAGGACAATTCCTTGAGGTTGGTCTGAAGTTCATTCTTGGAGGAATTCTTGCCTGAACTGCAGAAGAGGTGCTGCCGGCCAGGGTTGATAGCAAAGTCGGACCCTTTGATTGGAAGCTTCCTTTGTTCCTATTCAACAAACCTAAGATAAAAATATTAAAGTCATTCTCTCTCTCTCTCTCTCTCTCTCCTTCCACAAATGTTGCCTGAGGCTGATGTGACTTATCATTCATTTGTTCAATTAAATGTGCGTATTCGTGCAACCTTCACCGGTGAAAGCCGCGATAGCTAGGTTTTGAGAACATGAGGCTAAATTGAGCCTGGGCAGTTGGTGACTGAAGATGGTCTGGGAATCCATCCTGATAAAAGGGAGTTAGCAAGTTGTGTGAACCGTGCCATCCTATTAAACTCTGGTGTTTTTATTTGTTTATTTATTTGTCACGCGAATATATATCCTGCCAATTGATCAGGCTGTAGGTCAGGGGTCTCCAACCTTGGCAAGTTTAAGGCTGGAGGACTTCAACTCCCAGAAAGCTGGCTGGGGAATTCTGGGAGTTGAAGTCCTCTAGGCTTAAACTTGCCAAGGTTGGAGACCCCTAATCTAGGTGGTGTACATGGACAATGCAATTTATCTGTTTGTGCATAACATTATGGGGGATAGCAGTTGCATTTCCTTCAGGGTTTAGCATCTTGGGTGAATCTACTGTAACTGACCCAGGTAATGAAGTCTATCCATTAACCTCACCAACTGGAGTCACGGGTCAAATGGAGACTCAACTCAAAGAAGGGAGGCTGAGAGTCGTGCAGCCCTCTGATGCTCTGGCCTTCAGCAGCTACTCTGCAAAAAAAGAACAAAACCAAAAACAGGAAGAAGGAAATTGTGCTGTAATCCAGTCCACCAACAACTTCTGGAACACAGTCTAAAAGGAGTCCAGCCTTTGATAGCAAACAAGGTTCCTCTGCACCCTAAAACGTGGATCTGTTGCAGACGGCTGCTTTATGGACTGCCCTATTCAACTTTTGTCGCCTGTCTAAATAATTATAACATTAAAAGACTTACATTGAAAGTTTAAGAATTTGGATCTTTCTTTTTCTTTTTTAGTGAAGTAAGGATTTCCCTTGTGTCCTGACTGTAGAGCGTAGGGGTCATCTCCGCTTCTTTAGCCGAGGGAGCCAGCGTTATCCAAAGACGTTTCCACGGTCATGTGGCTGAGGCGCACAGGACACTGTTACCTTCCCAAAAAAGTGGAACCTATTTATCTACTCATGTTTGCATGCTTTCAAACTGCTAGGTGGGCAGGAGCTCACCCACGGCGTGGCACTTGGGTCTCAAACCCAGGCTGTCAGTTGTTCAGCTGAGAACCTCAGTGTTTTTAACCACGAGCCGTTGAGCCCATCAGACTTTGTAATCACTAATTTTAAATTTGTTTTAGAACAGAATAGAAACTTTATTTAATTGTTTGACCATATCAAACATTTTAAAAGCTGATGCAAATACACAAATAGATACAAAAAAAAAACCATAATAGGACATGTTCATAGTAAATTGTCATCCCAACAATCAACCCCAATCTTATTTTAAAATGCTGTTTTCTTCAAAAACAGCCTTTGAAATCAAGAGGGCAGACTTCCTAGTGATAACACAGGCTCCTTCCCTGCAAAAAGGAAAGCATCCTTGGGTCTTTCACATAAGTGCCATTGTCCTTCTTGACGCATCCCGGCTCTTCTGCTATTTATTTTTGAAGAGGTCCTTCAGAAGTCCACCATCCTGGGCTAGTTGATAGCAAGCAGAATTGCTTTACCAAGAAGGCTCTGCTTGGGGGGCTCCATCACTCAAGATCGGAAGAGGATCCAAATGGGTTGGAGGTCTGTAGCAAGAAGCCACTTCGGCTGAACAATTACAACTCCTAACGGTTACTTGGAAGGCAGCCTGGAAAAGACGCTGCTTCCTTCCTTGAAGGGATCATCAATCTCCAGGTGAAGGGTAGAGATTGCAGGCGTGAACTGATAGACGAAAGTTTGTCTTAATTGCTGCAATGTCACAGCCTTTCTGGCAGATAACACTACAATGAATGACTCGATGGAAGGGTGGCTTGGCTGTGGGCGCTTTTTCTAAAAGTGAGACAAATTCCCTTCCCTTCAGCCACTTAGTCTGAAACGGTTCTTTCTCTTGCTTCTTTTCGAACACTTTGCATAGAGCACTCTGGTCTAAAGCATATTTCTGTTTAGTTTAATTTTAAAATCACATTAAGTTCTCCGTTTACTCACATTAAGTTGTGGGTTGTTGGGTTGTTTTTTTTGAGCAAATAAGACAGTTGCAGCTTGCAAGTTACTGCTGAAGCGCCTTGGATGTTTTGGAGTTCCTTGTTTTCATTTATCAGCCATATCTCAACTATTGATAATCCTCACCGATTCTTTAAGCATGTTTTTAAGTGAAGAATGTGCTCTGAAAATGTGATTCAGTGACAGCCTCACTAATGAAGATGTTTTGGATCTAATGATGCTTTATGATCAGCCATTTACCCATTGCATCCAACTTGAATTAACCTATTACAAATAATACAAAAGGATCTCAATTGGATGTACAAGGTAATATATAAAATGTGAACAGTCTTGTCATTATTTTTGTTGATTATCATCAGAGGTGGTATTCAGCCGGTTCGCACTGGTTCTGACGACCCGGTAGCAAGAATTTGGCGTGGGTCGCGGAACTGGTAGCGACTTCTGGCTGGCCACGCCCCCAAACAGTCACCCCGACGGTCACCACTCGCTTGCCCCGCCCACCCTCTCGCCGCTTGCTTGCCTTGAAGACAACGGTATTCAAACTTGGAGGAGGAATTCTGGGAGTTGAAGTCCACAAGTCTTAAAGCTGTCAAGTTTGCAGTCCCCTGATTTTAAAAAAATAGTAAATGTGTTAATTTCCCCCCCCCCCCCAAAAAAAATCGTCATATAAAATTTGGAAAATTTTAGCTGCTTTTCTATTTTTAAAAAGCAGCTCCTTTGTGAGGTTGGCATTGTGCGTGTATGGAAGTTCTTTTAAATTGTGTGAAATGTTATGTGCCTATAAATTAAAGCTATATTTGTAGATTTTTCCAGATGTATCTGCTTTGTGAGTGTGTGTGTGTAGGTTTTAGTTGTGTAGGGAGTGTGTTTTCAGTTGTGTAGTTTTATGGGTCTGCTGCCAATCCAGAAAAGTCATACTGTAACATGACTGGATTGGCAGCAGACCCACAAAATTAGACAACTGAAAACGCACTCCCTACACAACTGAAAACTACACACACACACACTCACGAAGCAGATACAGCTGGAAAAATCTAAAAATGTAGCTTTAATTTATAGGCACATAACAACATGTCCTAGCAGTTTTTGATGTTGATACTTGCAGCATGCAGGCCAGGAGACATTTTACGTGAAGTCCAGCTGCTTGTCAGCAACTTTACTTTCTGAGAATATTAGTAACTTGTTTTGGGGTGTAACACTTCCACCATTATTAAAGCTGGTTTTAACACGTTGAGATTTCTGGAGCTGAGCCTGTTTGAGGGGTTTTGTTCTTGCCTGGGTCTTTTGTCTTTTCTATCATGGTGATTAATTCTGCCAGGAATCAGGAAAAGGGCACCTCCAGGTGAGTTACCTTAATAATGGCTCATGTAAATCTCATCTTGCATACCTGCTTGGTTTGGTAATTAAATACAATATTTCCCTCTTCCTCTCCATACTGCAAAGGCTAGTAAGTCAAGGAGAACAGTGGAAAAAGCCCTTTTTGGATCTCTTCCCTCTGGAGCTCCAGGCCATGTGGTCCTGTTCACCATTAAACCTTCCAAACAGCCTCCATGTTTCCAATCTCTTTTTCCCCACTTGGAACTGAACCCAGAAGGATATTTCTTCCAACAGAAGTCTGGAAAAAAGAGATTACCCAGATATCAACTCAAAAATATTTATCTGGTCTTTTAGAGTTGTCAGCAGAAAGGGAATGGAGTAAGCAGTGCATTCCTTAAATGCTTCAGATAACTGCTAGGCAGCCGAAGCTTCTGGCGTGCAAGATTATTACTGGAGAGCATGATGGATGACTCTTGGCTATGGATGTGTCCCATTGGAGAATATACACCCAGGGGGTGGGGGTGGGGGAAGACCAGGGTCAAAAGGGGAATGAATGATGTATTTTAGTGTCGGCTGCACCCAGCTAACGCCAACATGGCCACTCCTAATAAATCAATCTTTTTTACTCTGAGAGACGCGGCTAGAGACTTATAATTTGAATGGGGGTGGATTGTCGGAGCCCTGACACCAGGATCTGAAGGGCTTTGGCAGGAATCAAGGCATCCTCCAAGGGAAGGAATCGACACCAGCTTTGCACCATTTCTTGAACTTGGCTTTGGCAGTCAGAAGGGGACACCGGTGCTGTTGAGTGGAGAGGCAAAAAAAGTCAAGGTGGCACCTTCAGCCGTGCAGTCAGAGACCTGTCGGCCTTTCTGACGTGCCCTCCTGTCATTTTACTTTTTCATTCCCTCCCTGCGGCCTTCCATGGACACCCCTTAAACCAGCTGCCGAGATCTGGGGGCTCTTTTCACGCCCCAAATGCCATACAGGCAGCCTTGCAGTCGCCGCTGAAGTTCGTCCAATTAACGCTTCCTGATTAGCTTTGCTCAGCTTTAGCTTTTAGTCAAAGGGAAGAGAACCAGGCAGGAGAAATTAGTTTCCACTGTTTTTTTTTTCATTATGTATAAAATACCAGGCTGATAACAGGATAAGGAGCGTCCCTAACAATGAGCGGGAAATCAATCCAAGCGGGGTTGTCCGTTCCTCGTGATGGGGGGGAGCTGCAATTAAGTAGCCTCCGTTCTCTCTCGGGGGGCTCCTGATGGGAGCACGCTAAGGCCGTGGTCGCCAACCGGTGGGCTGCGGCCCACGGGTGGCCCATGAGAAAATTTTGGTGGTCTGCAGAGAAATATCACCCCCATGCACTCCCCAAAGCAATCAACCCAGGCTGTGGGGGGACACAAGGCTGCCCCACCCACATGGCCGGCCTGCAGGAACACAAGGCTTATGTCAGAACAACAGGGGGTGGGGAGGGGAGGGGGGGAAGGGTGGAGGGGGAGAACTTGCCTGGCCACCGGGCTGCTTCTTTCCACTTCTTTCTTCTTCTAACCAGGTTAGGAAGGTGGCTGCCTTGGAGGGGGTGGAGTGTGTGAGGGATCTCTGTGTGTGTGTGTGTGTGTGTGTGTGTGTGTGTGTGAGAGAGAGAGAGAGAGAGAGAGAGAGAGGGAGGTTGTGTGTGTGTGTGAGAGAGAGAGAGAGAAAGGGAGGTTGTGTGTGTGTGAGAGAGAGAGAGAAAGGGGGGTTGTGTGTGTGTGTGTGAGAGAGAGAGAGAGAGAGAGATAGGGAGGGAGGGAGAGAGAGAGGTTAGATCAGATCTCACTCTCGCTCTCACGCCAATGTCAGCAAGCCATAATAGAAATAGAAATAGAGCTGGAAGGGTCCTTGGAGGTCTTCTAGTCCAGCCCGCTCCTCAAGCAAGAGAAGCTATACCATCTCAGACAAGTGACTGACCAACATATTCTTGAAAAACCTCCAATATTCCGATGGCCATAGTAATAAAGTGTTGGACTGTGCAGAGATGGTTCAACTTACTTTGGAGCTGCAAGATAGAGAGGAATCAGAATATTATACAGTCTGGGAGAAGTGGCATATCTGGCTAGACAAGAGAAATAAGAATGAAAAGCACATTAATGGTTAAAAAGCACAACAACAATTTTTTTTAAAAAAAAAAAACCCTCCAATATTAGAGCACCCACGATTTCTCGAAGCAAGTTGTTCCACTGGTTAATAACAGCTATAATGGCATATTTTTTCAAAGCAATCCATGTATGACTGCTGTAAGATGGGTATTTGTATGAAAGAGTGTGTGTGTTTATAGGCTGTTGTATTTCTATACAATACCCTGTAAGAGCAACGTTTCTCACCCTGAACCACTTTAAGATGAGTGGATTCTAACCAGTTGAAGTCACTCATCTTAAAGGAGCTGAAATAGATGCATCACGTGCTTCTACTATAAATAGAGGACGGTACAGTAGAG